CTGCCCATGGCCACCCCTGCTTCCAGACACGGCCCGGCTGCCTCCCCCAGGCCGTGCGGGGCTGGGCAGGCCCGGCCCTTCCAAAGCTGCTCCGAGCCAGCAGCAGGAGCTGGGCACCCCCAGAGCCGCGGGCCTGCGGGGTAGGAAGCCGGGATGAGGTCTCATCAACGAGCCTTTCCTCCCCCTGGCCATCGGGTCCCTTGGTTTGCAAACGGGGCCCAAGCGGCCTCCCGAGGCCCCCCATGGGAGGGAGCTCGGGCCAGTGTTACTTGCTCAGCTACCGGAAATAAAAGAGAGCTTTTTCCCGGGTTACCTTCTTCAAAATGTGTGTTCAACAGAGCGAACTTTCTCCAATTGGTTTCTCAGGCTGTCAGTAACTCAACCAGCCTCCAATTGGTCCCATCAACTCATAGAGGAAGTTCTCAAAGAGAAAAACTTCTCTGAATCTGCCCTCCTCCAGGTGTAATTAGCACAACTTATAATAATTTTCACTTCTGAAACAGAAGTTCATTTCTTACTGGCATCCATTTCTGGGATGGCTTTACAAATGTAATAAAATAATAACTTTGGGTAATTTCCCTGCTATTTCACTGGAAGCCAAATACATGGCCTACAAAATATGATAAATAAAAGGATAAACTTGGAATTGGAAAATTTGCCAAATTAAGCATTACCTCAATAGAACCCTGAATTTTAAACTGAAATGTGACACCAATGAATATAATTCTAACACATGAAAGAAAAAAGCCTTTCTTCTTGTCTAATGTCTGCTTGGTGTGACCTCCGTAAAATGTCATTACTGTAAAAAGTGGAAATATTCTCTGTATCAGCCGTACAACAACATCAAGAGTTTCCATGTTTTTAAATTAACCATTTTCTTTTGATTATGGAGACCCAACTGCATTAATGAAATCTCCAGTCATACCACAATTCCAACTTCTCCAACTTCTCATGCCCTAGGCGTTTTGTTCCTCCTCTGTTCTGAAGCCTTGTCCAGTGCATGGTGTGGTGTGAAGGCCTTCCTTAGGGGCTCCACCACTCCCAGGAAAACAGCCAATCCATCAGTATCACCTGGAGGTCTTCAGCATCAGGAGAAGGACATGTGTCCCAAATCTCTTATGTATAAGACATAGAGTTTTAATGAAGTGTAAGACCAAATGATTCAAATGCAGCTTCAGTTCCTAGGGCTGTACTTTTGCAGGACTGAGGATGTAACAGATAGCCCGGTTTTCTACTGGTGAAGATTGAACCCATGTTGCTGTCTAATGCCAAAAAATTGCTACACCTGCTTGGTGCCAATCTTCCTACTCGGTTAAACAGCCTGAACAACGGGCTTTGAACACTGACCCTAATTATTAAACCGTAAACCATTCCAACCCACTTTGTTCTCCTTAAGGTCCAAGAGTCCTCTGACATACCCTTACTAGCTGTGCACCCAGCATGGCCAAGCTGATGCTTCAACTCATTTGAGACTTATACAAAGTAAAGTTGATTTTTCCATATTCAGTGCTGAGCTCCCCATTAGCATCTTTGATTTCAAGTCAGTAACTTGAGCTTTGACCAAAGTTCCCTGTGTGGAAGGAAAACTACTGCAGTGCAGTTTCCCTTACAAATCCTGATAGCACAAAAGCAATGATTGCTTTTACAAAAGCTTATGATGACTCTATAAAGTGTTATCACTCCAGAAATTTTATATATTTCATATACATGAGACAATCAAATTGTGTTAAATTGTTTTAAAACCATCAAGTGACGCCATAGCCTCTTAAATTAAAGATGGGGCAAATCTGGCTGCCTTCAGCACTAATTACAGGAATTATATAAAGGGGCTATTTTTTGGCTGTCAAACTGTGGAAATGTGGTTGAAATTATCATACTTGAGTACTGAGTTCATGAGGTCATGTGATGATGAGTATGTGCTGCTACTCAAGTAATGTACTGACAAATATGTGCCATACCAAATAATAGAAACTATTTCTTCTAGGCAGTTAAACGTTTGCAAATATTCAAGGGGGTATTCCCTCTGGCACTTGCAGAAATCTAATTTTAGCATTTTGCATAATTTCTATACTAAATACAACTCCTATAACAAAAGCATTTATATACTGTATATAAATAATTTTATCTGCGTGTTCTTTAGCCTGTTTTCTTTTTAAACTGCTATTAAGAAGTAAAGCTAGGTGCACACCATCTGGAACATGCTTGGTCTATAATATTCCACAAAGGAAAATGAGTTTCATAATTTATTTTCAGTCACATATGTGCATGCAATTATATGGACTCTGTATAGTAAATTACACTTTCCAGACAAACATCTGGATCTATAACATGCATCTGCTGAGGACTGTCTTCAATCATGTGAACTTTGTTTAAACAAAATCAGTGGCTCTTGGTCTCAAATTCTCCTGTATGGTGTGTCACTCAAAACACTTTTTGTCTGTGCAGCAACATAAGGTATATGTCTTTGTCATATAGCTGTGACTTAGTTTTTTCACTGCAGAAAACCTTTTACTGAATTATGCCAAATTCCAAGACAGAAACTATGTAATGAAATAAACAGAGCTAGTTCTCAAAAAGGGTATCATAGAAAGTGAAGAAGTTTCAAAGTCTTTCATCAAGACATTTTTCTCCTGGAGCAAGTCTTCAACTTACAGGAAAGATCCCCCTGTAAAGGATACTCTATATTTTCTAAGATTATTAAAGCCTTAAAAATAACTTTTATTTTTAAAAAAAGTTACATGGCCTTTACAAATTTTGAATTTCATTGATAACGTGCTCTAAGTGGCAGAGGGAAAATGGAAGGTTGCTAGAAAGAAATGGGACAGCTTCTACTTGCTTATTTCTGAAGCATCAGTAGTAAGATGGTTTCTACTGGCAGAAGCATCTTGGTTAGTGTCTTCAGCTGGCTTTTGCATTCAGCAAAGTGCCACCACTGGAAAGCCATCATTCTTCCAGGTACTGCCCTGGTGCCAGATGTCCCTTGGCACACTGAAGTTTATCTAAGACTGCTGAAATAATCTGTTGGGGTGGAGGGACACTGCTAAATCCATATTTCCTCATAATGTTACAATATTTTGATGTCCAAAGATGAAATTATTCTTGTAATGTGATTTCACAGTTTCAATATATGCTGGCTGGATGTTCTAACATGTTTTCTCTTTTCCCTTTCATTGTAAAGACCAACTTGGCAAGTGCAAGACAAAGCAGATGCTAACAATATAGCTTATACAACTGGGAGACTCTGTTTTCATACTGATTATCCTGTTCTGCAGCATCCACCTGGGGTAAGTTGCATTTACTGACTTTTTCACCCCACAAAAGGGGAAAGGGAAATGTTCCTATAGTGTCAAATACTAGTGATCAGTGGTTCTGAATTTTGTCTGAAAAGAGCAATGTAAAAATACCGATATATTAATCTGCCTATGATAATCTATATACACATGGGTGTGCCATTTTTACAGCATGAGGTAAATTCAGCATAAGTCTCCCATATATCCCATAATTTTTAAATTAAATTCACCAAGTATTGAAAATATTTCCATATGAGAAAACTTTAGGGTCCTTTATATGCTTTGAATACTGTTCTCATTATTTCACAGAAGTTAGGTCTCTAAATGCTATAGTCAGGTTGTGACATTTTAGGTTGTGACATCTTCAGCTCAGGAGGGGAACAGAGAAAGAAATACGATTAAGATGGTATATTTTGTTTTCTGTGAATTGCTACAAGATAAACACTTGTTTGCCCTTTCACAACAGACAAAAAACAGAATCTTTCTGTAAAACTGGATAACCACAGAAAATACATTTTCACCCAGTCCTTTTCGTATCAAAGTGTAATCTACATAGTTCACATAATTCCAGAGAACTGGAAAATAGTATGAACAGGTACAAAGGAACACAGATAACCCTGAAAAATTTGCACTATAAAACTTTCCCTTCTGATGTGGAGTACTTTGTTGTTTCTGTATTTAAACAAAAAGCCAATGTGATTTACCCATAGGGAAGTACCAAATACTTCACAGTAAGATTATCTTTTCATCATTTAGATACTCTTCACTGATGTGGAGTAAGAATGGAATGGGGCTTCATTAATAGAGAGCATATGTGAATTAGCTCACTGTCCTGTCTGTGCCAAAGCTCATGCTCTGCTATGAAACATTAGAAAAAGAGCGTAACCTTTTTCATTCAAATGTGCTCGTAGGAAATAAAACTAATAAAGTACATTGAAATGTTTTTGAACATTGTCCTGAATGTGTCATTTTCTTTATATGTCTAGTTATTACACAATATTTGAATTCTTAAGTTGTATATAAGCCACAACAACCCCCTGCAGCATTATAGGCTGGGGTGGTGTGGTTGGACAGTGCCCAGGCACAAAGGGACCTGGGGTACTGTCAACAGCCAGCTGAACATGAGCCAAGAAGGCCAATGGCACCCTGGCCTATATCAGGAATAGTGTGACCAGCAGGACCAGGGCAGTGATTCTTCCCCTGTACTTGGCACTGGTGAGGCTGCACCTTGAGTTCTCACTCTCTCCAGTTCTGGGCCCCTCCGTTTAGGGAGGAAGTTGAGATGCTTGGGCGCATCCAGAGGAGGCAACGAGGCTGGTGAGGGGCTTGGAATACAAACTCTGTGAGGAATGGCTGAGGGAGCTGGGGTATAAATAAAAGAATCGCAGATGTGAGAGAACTGATACTAATAAACTGTTAAATATTCAAGCTAATTATTTTTTTTAACAGCTGTTAATTCATTCCAGGTTCAATTTCTTCATTGTATAAAGCAAACAGCTCTAGGAGGTGAAAGTGAAGTTGTAGATGGATTTCATGTATGCAACAAGCTGAAGAAACAAAATCCTGAGGCATATCAGATCCTGTCTTCTACTGCTGTAGACTATGCTGATGTTGGGGTGGATTACTGTGATTTTGCTGTTCACTGTAAACAAAGGATTATAGAGTGAGTAGTTTCAAGACCTAAAAAGAAGATCCCTGTCATCTGGTAGATTACATGTTAGTAGGAGAAGGTCTGCTCCTGCCACCTTGTGGGAAAACACTGGTTTAGCTTGATCTGAGGTTTGGGTGGAGTTTTTTGTTTGGTTGGTTGGGGTCTTTAGTCTGTTTTTTGGGGAACGTGTGACTTGTTCTGTGCATTGTAGCACTTACTTGGTTTTACCACACACAAATAAGAAATGGTCGTAATTAGAGTAACTCCTAGGCACAGGCACAGGTTAGCAACAGCCAAATCTGTTACTAAATGCCAGCCAATGTACATATATATCATGCCAAGGAGAGGTCATAATTTGAAACATTTAGATTAGGAATTATATACTATCAAAAGATTAAATGCAAATAATAATATTTTTCCTAATTTAAAAAAAGGTTATGATTTATTAAAAAGAAGTTTACAATTAAAGAGTGTATAATATAGATTTTTGAGCAAATTGAGTGTCTACACTTCCTCCTGATTATCCTTTCTCCTAGTTAGGCTTAATAAGAAAAATCCAATCCAATATCAATCTGAATTTTACTATAGAAACATACTGATATTCCAGCAGAATTCAGTCATTGTTTAATCATCTTGACCTGTTTCAGTAACAACAGAATGCATTCCTTTTTCTTTTTTCCTTTCCTTTTTTTCCCTTTCCTTTGTTTATAGCGTGGATTCCAGAGGCCAAGAAATTCGCATCAATTATAATAATGCAACAAGAGACACAGTGTTTGATATACCAGCTGAAAAAGTGAGGCCATTTTATGCAGCTCTAAAGGAATTTAATGATTTATTAAACAGTGCAGAGCACAAGTTTACTTTCATGCTGAAACCAGGTCAGTAAGTTGCTTTTCCTCACAACAATTTTTCGCATGTTTTTCTGACAGTCAAAATACTTGAACACTGCTAGCACTAGTACTGAGAGGAACTTTGAGTCTTTCTGTCATCTGTTTTATTTCATAAATATTATGCATTCTTACATTCGTCTCATGGATTTATTTTGCCATTGTTACACTATAAAGAAGAAAAAATGGCAGGGGGGAAATAGTCTACCTATAGATAATTCGAATGTATCTTTATACTAAATCCAAAACAGCGTTTTATGCTACATACCATATTGGAAATTGATGTACCAATAGCACCATAGATGGGAAATACAATGTGTGATATCATATGTGGCCTTAATCTCTGTTCTTTTATTCCCCATCATTAAAATAAAAATATTAATCTCTCAAGAGATATTAAAAAAGTAACTACATCGGTGTATCTGACTGTCTCATAGACTAGGGTACTTGTGTCTAAAATGTCTGTGAGGAAATTGATCTCTCTCCATTGGAAACATGCAATAAAATAATGTGTAAGATCACATTAATGGAGAAACAAAGTGCCTTACATTACATTAGTGGCATCCATTTTGTTGATTAACACATTGAAATGGTGGTAGAGGGAATGGGGAGAAGATAAGAATGACTGAATTTATTTAATTCAAGATTTACCATAATGGTAGCACACAAGGGAGAAAAATTGAATTGGTACTCTAGAATTAATTATGTGATTTCCTAACTTTCAATGTCTTGACTTTGTTCTCATGAAATTCTCTTAACAGGGATAGTATGTATGTGTGCAGTAGAAATAGTACTAGACTATCAAATAAAAAGTATCCTAGTGGCTTTCACATATTTCATTTATTTCACCTCTATGGATTTACTGTAGTTGCTTTTCTCCTCAAGGCTTGATTTTCTCAGTACACACTTCTCTACCACTCTGCTTTTTAACTCCTCATTATACAAGAAATGAAAGAAATGTCAAAAGGGAACTGGCCTCTCTGGTTGAGAAAGTGTGTTGTTGCTGTGTATCTCCAGCTGGGCTCCTTAAAATTAATGCTCCCTAGCTGTTACATATGTTAACTATAACATTCCAACTACTGACCTTTGTGCAATCTCTTTATAGGAGACATACTGACATTTGATAACTGGCGTGTGCTTCATGGTCGCCAAAGCTACCCACCATGTTCAGAAGTGACACGTCACCTGGAAGGTGCCTATGCAGACTGGGATGTGGTCATGTCAAGGCTCCGCCTCCTTAGGAAAAGGGTCCTCAATAGGGATTGAGATTTCTTCTAACTAGAATGAGCAAAACGTAGATTATCTAACCTCAATGACAACAGCAATATTAAAAAATATGAGTCTTCTTTTCAGAAACTAAAATCACTTTTGACAAGGGTTTGTCATAGAACCAAGGTAATGGCTTTAAACTGACAGAGGGTAGGTTTTGATTAGATACTAGGAAGACATTCTTTACTGTGAGGGTGCTGAGGTACTGCAAAAGGTTGCTCAGAAAAGCTGTGGCTGCCCAGTTCCTGGAAGTGTTCAAGGCCAGGTTGGGTCTGGAGCAACCTGGGATAGTGAAAGGTATCCTTATTAATGGCAGAGGGGGTATAATGAGATGGCCTTTCAATCCAAACCATTCTATGAATCTATCATAAATATATTTTTGATTTCTATAAGCTAAGAATAATTTCGTTCATAACAATTTAAGATTTATCTGTGCCCTGTAAGTTTATGTGCTTTGTAAAAATCAGTGTGCAAAGTGGCTTGAAAGATTATCACTTTACAGGACTGACTGGGGATCACAATGCCTTCCTGTGCCTCTACATATCTATCTACCCTCCCGAGAAAGGTTGAAAGGGAAAATGAAAAAAGTATTATTAACTAAATTTTCTTATGAATGACACCTTCCTCTATTTTCAGAGAAGCATTCTTTATGGCATAAATCATAACTAAAATTCACTATCAAAATAAAAAAAACCACTGCTGTGGTGTTATTTTTAAATACACACCTTTCCAGGTAGGACTCTGCTGTAATACATTATGTCATTGAACAGGGACTGTATTCTCTATTCCACTGTACATGTTTTGACTATCACAGCCACAAATAATTTTTCATGTGTTTCCAAGTCCATAAGCTCAGAAATCGAAAACTTACTAAAGAATGCATCATATTAATGTTCCTCTGCGTTAGGAAGATAAATCACCCTCAGTGTAGAGGTCACAGAAGGGTCAGAATTCCTATCAGATGCCATGTACAGTCTGTACAGCAGACTTTTGAGGAGGAGGAATGCTGATGATGCTTGGTGGCTAGAAACTACAAAGCTGAAGTGGCTATTGACTTTGCATGTGACAGAAATGTGGCAACTGAACCCAAATCCATTTTTGTTACACCTCCAATGGGTCTTTAGGATGTTTTCATCTACTCTGGATTCTGAATAAAAATTACACTATCTAGAAATTGCTGCAGTCAAAGTAGTGGAGTTCTTTCCCTATATTCAGATGCCAAATGGAAAAAGAAAGAATTTCAAAGCACTTGTTTCATAATCAACAGCATGTCCACTGAGTATATTTTTCACTGTTCTTATAGCTGCAGAGTTAACAGGATGCTACTTACCATGCTGTGAGCTAGACAAAATAACCACTCTTCCACCCTCGAATCTTTCTATTCAACTGTTTTCAAACTGTTCCTTCCAAATCAAATAAATCCTAGTTCTTCTTAGTAGGGTAACACAATAGAGCTACAACTACAGAATTAAATGACCATAGAATTAAAATAAGGCCAGGTTAGATGGAGCTTTGAGCAACCCGATTTAGTGGACGGTGCCCAAGGCAGGGGGACTGAAAGTAGATCATCTTTAAGGTCCCTTCAACCCAGATCACTCTATGATTCTTTGACCTAAAATCAGTTTGCAAACACTTCCATAGCTTCTACTCATCGTTTAACAACAGATATCTGCTGAATAATCAGATAAAACTCAATTTTAGGCCTTTTTGTCATAGGGGAGTTTGAATCTAGTCCCTTTATTAAATAGTGAAATGTTATTGTCAAAGTTAGGACCTCATGAAATAGTCTAACAAAATTGCGGTTTAGGGTTAATTAAATCTTTCAGTGCCTCCTTTAATAATTAATTCTGGAAACATGAGGAAAATATTTTATTGTCTTTGCTATAAAAGAGGAAAAAGCTGAGAAAGATTAATACCTATATTTATGTATTCCAGAAATGCTCTGCATTAAATGTGATGTTTTCCATATAAAAATAGAGTCAGTGTTGCAATTTATAACTATTAAGACACCTTGTGATTTATACCAGTCATTAATAGGGAAGAGATATTTTCCATTTATATTCTGTACTTTTCTGAACACTTTCATTCAAATTTCTTTTTATTAAAAGCTGTTATGGAACTGATTGCTGGTTTGGGCTTGTATCTAATCTCACACATAACATCTTGCATACAGATATGAAGTCATTATTGTTAGTTACAAATATTTGCAAATATTATTAGACCTGGATCCATTCACATTTGTCCTTTATACTTAACATATAGTTAAAATATGCTAATCAAAACTTATGCTTGTGCCTGAAAACCTTCTGCTGAACTTCTAGAACCCAGCTACTATCTATATCAGAGATTTTAATTCTAAATTCCTTTGTCTGATACTTTAGTCATACTGGAAAAAGAGAGTATTTCTATAACTGTCTGCAAAGTAGATCTTCTGATGACTAGTGATACCTGGTCAGGCTAAATAATACAGGAAGCCCAAATTCTTTTTTCCCCTCTTCTTTTCCAAAACCACACAAAAGATGACATTACAAAGCTTGAAATAGCTCTGGTTTCTGACGTAGCTGCAGTACAGATTCATGCTGGTCACCCAGCATGGGTACCTCAACCTTCACAGACTAAAAGGCCCAGTCATCTTTGCCATCTTGTAACAGCAAGAAAAGAATCAGCTGGCAATAGGTGTTTGCAGTACAACACTGAGGAAGCTTTTGGGCTGTATCCAGAGGGTGGTAAAGGACATGATTTCACTCAGCTATTGTAATCCAGAAGTTCTAATGCTGTGTTAGCTTTGTGCTAGCCTGTGTCTATTTTTTGGCAACTGCAAAATCTTAGAAAGAACCTTTCCTCATCTTTCACATTTCCCCCATGCTATGTGGCAGTGGTTCTCTTGCAGGCATACACCAAAAGGAAAGGGAGGCAGTTCTGTGGATTGTATTTGCAGTTTCTCTTTGGCTGCATCACTCCCCCGCCCTAACAACAGCATTTCTTTGCCCAGAAGCATGCGATCCACTAGATACTGTAACTCCAGTTTCATGGTTTGGGAGTGGTGTTCTCCAATTTAGTACTGCTAAAACCACATGCAGTTTCCCCTTCCCCCTCCAACTGAAAGAACAAAAGTCAAAGATCACAGGCTGAGATAAGAACAATTTACTGGAAAAAAACGAGAGAAGAAAATGAACATTAAGAGCAACAATATTGACAAAAGGTATAAGAAAAGAAATTACTTACATGGAAAGCTCCTGACAATAAGCAAATACCTGACCATTCTGTCCACCACATTTTCTCAACCTGAAGGAACTCCTTCTCCCTGTGATGCCTGGAAAGGCTGACCTAGAACAGGGACTAGACAGAGCCAAAGGAATAAAATAGGTATTTATTAAAAGCATACACCTTGGGCAGTGCAAGAGCCCGGCCAGGGCTACACCCAAATCAAATCCAAGATGGATCCTGGTCACAAGTTTTTACACTTTTATAAGTTTTGGTTCATCTACATATTGGGGTCAATTGTCCACCATAGCCCCAGACCACGAAGTCTCAGCCTCCTGGCTTGTCCCCTTCCCTTAGCCGTTGTTTATGTTTTTTGGGTACTAGTTGTCTTTGATTCTCTAGTTAGGAAGGGATTGTTTTGCCAAACTACCCAGTGAAGAGAACTTACCAACACCGAATATGAAGTTTCAGAGTTACACACCAAGCAGCAGAGAATCTGAAAAATATAAAAGCTAAAACCCAAGGCATCACCTGGAAGAAAGTTCTTTTTCCCTGCCCCCACAATGACATGAGGTGGTATAGAATAACCTCCCTCCCAGCTACTGCAAAAAATAAGTATGTCCTGGGTGGAACCAGGAAACTATCCTATACATCTCTATTCATGCTCAGATCCTACACCTTCCAACTGCATACACACATATATAAAAATATACACAAGAAGAGATACAATTTCCATAGTCAATGGCTGTCCCTCCAAGATGTCTTTTTAGTTTACTTAGTTCTTGACTGTGGGTTTTGTGCATCCCAGATGTTTTCCAGGTTAGCAGAGCTGGTGAGCTGTTAGTTGGTTGCTGCATTGGGAACTCACAATTGATGAGCAGTCCATAGTCACTGCCCATGGCAGTTGTGACATACAGAGTCAGTGTCATTCTGCAACCAATATCAAGTATGCAATTCAACATTAGAGACTGTTCTCACTGAAAAATCAGATCCCCCTGAGATACTCATTGTGCTTTCTGTCCCTCTGCATTACCCACCAAGTGCACCCATGTGCTTGAGCAAAAGCAATCCCACAGGCTTGCCTAATTTACTTGAGGCAGTACTAATCCAAACTGTCTTCCCTAACACATTTTTCATACACACCATGAAATCTTTGTCCTTTACTACAGTACATGGAGGTTTTGATTTGGCATGGCCATCTCGACTGGTAGAGCTCCAGTGAAAACTAACCAAGTGGCCTTCACCATCCCAATGTTTGAAGGTCCCATGGTCCAGTGCTTTCAATGTGTTTTTTGACAGTCAATTGTACTGTTCAATTTTCCCAAAGGCTGGTGCATGATAGGGAATATGATACACTCACTCAGTATTGTGTTTTCTAACCCAGGTGTCTTAAGAGGCTATATTTGAAATTAGTCCTGTTGTCAATTCTTTCAGGGGTGCCATGTCACCACAGGACTTGCTTTTCAAAGGCCCAGGATGGTGTTCTGAACAGTGGCATAAGGCATGGGGTATTGTCTCCAGCCATCCAATGGCTGTTTTCCACTGCTGTAAGCATGTAGTGTTTGCCTTGGCAGCTTTGTGGTGGTGTGATGCAATCAATCTGCCAGGCCTCCCTGTAATTTTATTTAGACTACCTCCTGCCATACCACAGGCACTTTACCCATTTGGCCTGCTTGATCGCAACACGTCTCACAGTCATGGATTACATGGAAGATAGTGTTCATAGTTAAATCCCCACCTCAGTCACAAGTCCATCTCTACGTTGCATGTTATGTCTTCCCTAATGACCTGAGGCATCATGAGCCCACTGAGCCAGAAATAACTTTCCCTTGCCGGTCCATATCCACGTGAGACATTTTAATCTCGGCAGCTTGATCCACCTGTCTGGCACTGCAATGTTCTTCAGTAGCCCAACACTTCTGTACATTTGCATCTACATGATGTACTTTTACCCAGGAATCATTGCCTTACCAGAAGTCAGCAGCCCAGATGGGTTTACTCGTTTACCAATTGGTCTTTTTCTATCAGTCT